AGTTCAACGTATTATTTATTTCTGGTTTCTAAGAATATTTTGTTCCTAGAAATTTCATCTATAAAAGATGAACTGTAGTCAGGCAATAATTTATAGAAATAAAATGCCGTTCAGTGCTTTCAGTTGTTCAATGATGGCCTAAATTAGATCAGTTCATTATCTCAATGAAATATTTTACAACTTAAAGTCATCTGATGTAACTTTAAGTAATACCTCTAATCACCCATTATAACTAGATATTCTTAAGTATCTTTTCTTAAAATTGTATATTTTAGCCTATATGTCTATAAGGATTATTCTTCAATTAAGCTACACTTTCGTGAATTGATGCAGTTCATGATGTTCTCAAATATAATATCTTTTAAAATATGTAACATGCTAAGCTCTTTTCTGTATTACCGATGTCTATTCTCCCATCATTTTATTTTTAAAAATTTTCAAATATTTGATTTTTTTAAATATTAGACACAGAAGTTTTCACCGATGAAAGATTTATTTGATTCAAGAGAGCAACAACGTCTATTAATACATAAACGTCATGATGACATCCGATGCTTTCCAGTTTTTGGTTGTATGATACTATAATAAGAATAATATAGTATAAACAGTAGGAATTATTCAAAACAATATCTAGGCAGTCCACACAGGATGCACATATACCAACAAGATACTGATCATTTGCAGTCCTAAATAACAATGGGAAGATACAAGTAAACAACACCAAGTGAATATTTCATTATTAATACGAATATTCGTCAATATTAGAACAAATAGTTTGACAAAAATTAGGCGCCGAGTATGGAGAAGCCATTATAGGTGATAATCATATTTGAAATAATCTCAACGGTTGAAATTTATATAATTTCAATATTTTGTCCAATAAACCTGTCTGGTTCCTGAAGAAGCTTAAACAACTTTGCTAGATGAAAGTTTGAATTATTCAAAATTCAATCACTAAGATTATTTTAAATATAATTTTCATACAAAATATTATCTTTAAAAATCCCTAACTGAAACTATAGAATACATAGTATGCTGTATATCTATTAAACTGTTGCTTATTATAAATATATTCATATTTAAGAAGATAAGCTATCACTTATTAGAAACTGTAGTGCCGTGCTTCGCTAATCGTTGAACTCGATAACCGTTATAATAAAGATCTTAACGCTGCATAAAATCAGAATGCACAGAGTAGCGGCAACTAAAGTTTTATTGACAAATGATGCAGACCAGAAAGTCATAGGCATATGAGCAAATATCAGCGAACGAAGCATAAATGACACGCATTGGAGATGGCGGGTAAGTCAATTCGCTTTAATCAAGTGTTAATTATTATTTATAGTCAGATAAGAATAAGTTACAGACATGTGATGATTAAGATTAAAAGTGTACACAGGCATACGCTCCTTACAAAAAATAGTCAGGGTTAATAAGTGAATAATTAACAAGGTGAAAACATGACTGAAGATGAATAGTTAAATTGGCTTGTCTAGAAGCTAGAATAAGGTATATGAGCTTAACATATCAATCGACAGTACAAAACAAAGTTTAGAAATTATAGTAATAAGATATTGAATGCATTCGTATTTTTCTCCTCATTTAATACTAATTGACTCAATACTCTGTTGAACAATTCAAATATAAACATTGTAAAAAGAATATAAACTCGGCAATAAGTCACATCATAATAATACAATAACTTATAGTAAACAAATGAAACAGTCATGTGAAACTTCCATAAAACTAATCAAGATATTAACAGAATTCACACAATATTTTATGTGACAATGTAAAAAAAAGTATAGAAAAGATAGGAAAGCTGATGTTTTACATAAATGCCTACATAGATGATATTACCTCTTGCCAAAATTTGTCATGGAATTTGAAAGTGTATATGTATATGTGTATATAATTGATAGAAATTCACCTTAATAAATTGAATGTTTATTTCTCTATTTGTATAAACAAGATTATGTTTTACCTCTTATCTATGATTATTTTCTTTTTTTACCAATTTGATTTCTTGGGAAATTTGATAAAACCATGTTTAGTTATAAATTGAAATGTCAATAATTTGTAAAAGTCATACCAATTTTATATTTATTTCTAACGATCTTTTTTGTCTTATTCCAATCCATTTGGTTTCTTAATTGTTATTGTTATTATTCGTAGTAGTAGTAGTAGTAATAGTAGTAATATTGTCATTATTACTATTAATCTATGGATAGTAATCATATAGTTGTTTTTTGATAACTCGAACCCACTGACATACACACTCACGTACACACATAAATTCACATAATTAGAAAAAAAATATTTATACACATATACACGCACTGCATCTAAAATGTGTGTTATACTTCCATGATGGAATTATTCTAATCAGAAAAAAAGAAAGGAAAATCACAATCACAAATGACATTGGCATGATTAATTTACTTGCGTCTCTAAAGTTATTATTGTGTCATTGTTATTATTATTAGTATCAGTGTAGTTCACCTGTGTTCAGGTAGTTTTCGCACTGCCTAAAATTACTGTAGATTATAAAAAAAATCATACAAATTCATACTAGTAGATTATTATTATTATAGAGGGTGGTTATAATTTTGTTTACAATGAAGTATTTATTATGTTTATGAATGTAAAATGTCTTCCTTATCAAAAAGGGGACATAAATAAATAACAGAAAATGAAAGGAAATTTTTCTTTCTTTTTATATACTACAAACTAATCGAAAACATCTCACTAACTCATATTTGACAATCTTTATATATATATAAGGGAAATGCATACAAGTCATAATAATCACAGACATAACTACAATACAATGTTTCCTATGAAGTTTTTAGGTGATCAAAATTATTATGTGAATAGCCTATAAACTTACTTTCGTTTGTCTTCTATCTATCGTTAGTAATTTTTTTTCTATGATTCCAAATTAGTTTTTTGCTTTCTTATAAATAGAGTTTTTTATCGGTGACTTATTGGGTCAAGTCAATACAATATAAAGTAGATGTATACGGAGTAGTCATTGATGTTATAAGATAGAATAAATATTTGCATACAAATCTTATCAACGAAAAATAAAGAAAAGCGTAATTTACAAATTATACATAGATACACAAAAGAAGCTATATTATTACATTAGTAATATATATATATTATAATAATGTTACTATTATTATTAATTCCAACGTAGTGAATTAAGAATAAAAAAGATTTTTTGGATCCTACATTTCAATTTAATTGTAAAATACTTACCCAGTGTTCCAAAAAAAGTATATCTAATAGATATGAATATATGAATGAATAGTGTAAATCAAATACTATGATGGTAAAGGAAATAAGCATTTATTTCAATTCATATATATATGCATATATAATCATTTCATCTGTTTATATTTTATTTCACGCACACTGTTTACGTTCAAGAGCGGTATGTTATAATTCATGAATTACACTTAATTGATTCAATGTCAAAGACCGACAAAGTGATGTTTGCAATTATATATATATCTTATGTGCGGCTAATTGGTTATATCATGTTTACTTTAGAGAAACCAGTAATATACTAATACTGTATGGGAAGTATGGAAAAACGTAAAATTACTCGATATGCTATTTTCAAATCATTTTACACTGGTATAAATTAACAGTTTTTCTCTATAATATGGTTAATACATATTACATATAACTTTACTAAAAACTAACATTGTGGTATATTTCATAGAAATTTATTTTCATTTTATCTTATGCATTTAAACAAAATTTATAATACCCAACAATACGCCCTGTTGACTAAATTATACTTCAAGTTTTTGTAAATTTATTTATATCAATATCAAAGGAAATTATATGGGAATTCAAATCGTTAATTAATATAAGTCAGACTATGAAAAAAACTAACTGATATGGTTACTTTCTAGTCTAACAAGTTATTTTTCTTAAGTATTTTCAAATAATCGGTCTCAATAATTTATCAAAAATGGGGTTTTATGGATATTGTAATAATTTATTAGTTGAATTCATGAGTTCATTAAAACTAGACCACCATGGATACGCACCGCTGAGGAATCCCATACTGGGACGAAACGGCCGTCTAGTTTTTAATGGTGGTCTAACTATAATCGATTCATGAATTCAACTACTAAACTTGATAACTTAAATGTTTCGCCGAATGATGATACTATCATCTACGATATCATTGCGGGGTCTAACGAAGTAAACTTACTCAAGATAATATTAATCAGAGACAGATTCCGCCAACAAAATAAATTTATTAGCCAATGTTTACAGACTATATTTCAACAATAAAATATAGCAATGAGCTCCATTAAACTTTTACGCGGTTAGAAAAATGATCATGACATTTTGCTTTAGAAAATGACAACAACTTTACTACTGAAATGTTCAAATGTTCAACTAGGATGAAACGCGCGTCCTGGGTTCCACTGCTAGCCACTATCCATATTTGCTTATACTGACTGATATTATTATGAATTAATATTTTATAGCCTTGATTAAGATTAGTAAATTTCTCTTATTCCTAATATTTCAGTATATATATATATATATATATATATATCCTTCATTGTCACACATTGAGTAAATCACGCAACTGCATCACAAAGCAAGCCGTTACATTGAGTCCTGAAGGCCAGAGGAAAAAAAGAAGACCAAACAACACATTACGTCGAGAAATGGAGACAGACATGAGAAGAATGAACAAAAATTGGATAGAACTAGAAAGGAAGGCCCATGATAGAGTGGGTTGTAGAAGGTTGGTCGGCAGCCCACCCTTCATTGGGAGTTACAGGTGTAAGTAAGTAGGTAAGTAAGATCCTTCACTGTAATGACACCCAACATAAATCACATAGGATTCATACAATCTATTTCTTGATTCTGATTTTAGAATAGGTATTTAATGAATTTCACAAGACAAGAAATCTCAACAACCCAATTATCAATCCTATGAACAAATGAAAAGTAACTAAACATCAGGAGAAAAAACAAACAAATTATATTTTAAATAATCATAAATTAGTTTTCTTTCCTGCATTGTTTTTTTTCTTAAATGTTATATAACTGTACAATAATATGATCAATGCATGAATTTCAACATTGACTATGAATTGTTTTGTTTTAAATATTAGTTTCCAATTTGTGCTATCTTCCATTCTATAAATTTTCTGGTGATTTAGCTAAATTATAAGCAGAAAATGGATGTGATATAATTGTATTTGATTTAATTGTTTTCTTATGAGATAATTCTAATTTTGGTTTTTTCATTACTGGTATATTAGAATCATATTGTTTTAGTTTAGTATTCTTTTCTATACAATATGAAGATAAATTGTTATGTGGATCCATTTTTAAATTGATTGGAATTTTTTGATAATCAATAAATTCAGGATTAAGTTCGTTGTTGAAATTTCTGAAGAAAGAAAAAAGAAAACGTTTTGTCAAAAGACAGTTCGTCAGAAAAAGCTGAGTCTTTTTATATAAGGAAATTACATACATATCTATATTATTTAACACAAAATATACACTACTAAAACTCAACGCGTAAATTATCAATAGTGATGGGTTTTGTAGGTCATTTATCAAAATTTAAGATTAAAACTTGATCATCATGCGTACTTCTTGCATTTCCATAATTTTTGACCTCTTATCTCAATCCGTCATCGAGTTAAGATATGAGTTAGAAATCAAATAGGGATTTTGAAGCCTCAAGTGTATTTGTCTGTATCCGTTGTGGAAGAAATTTCAGAAATATTGTTAAGCACGAACTATGTCTCAATAGATGGCGATTTAGGTTTGTCAAGCGTGTAGTGTACACAAAATGAAAACATTAGATGTATTATAATTTAACTGAACTAAAGGAAAACTGGTTTCTGTTAAGTCTGAATATACTGATGTACTTACGTTGAAAGCACTGTTTTTAAACAAAATTCGAGCAATTTTACGAAAACAGCATTGGTCAAGCATATGAAAAAGATGTAAACATCTAACTCGGTAAGTTAAAAAGGCAAGTTACATTTCTATACAGTTCAATTGTTTTTACTTACAGACATCTGAAAGCAGCACAAGCCTACTTGAGTAGTGCTACATTTGAAGTCTTCTAAAATGCTTTCACTAAATCCCTATTGCCTTCAAAATAAGCGTTAGATTTCTTCATTGGAATAAATTCAAAATCTTTTGACATATTAAATTTTTCATCTTTCTTCCGTGTTGTAAATATAAGGGTTATATGTCCTGATTTAATTTCCATTAGATATAGAAATTTGTTAAATGGTAATAAATTAATTCGAAAATATATAACTCACATTAGCGGGATGTGTTGACACAGAAGTTACTTAATACAGACACTAACCCCAGTCTGTCAACGATAAGAATCTAGTTGAACATCAGACTAGAAAATGAATTACTTAAAAACTCTACCGTAACTAGACTTTTGAATGAATCAATCAACAGGAAAAACTCACAGAAGTCGAAAACACGGTTACACAGAAATCCGATAAATTCAAATAAAACGATAAATTATAACGGTCGTGAAACATTATATGACATTACTCATATCAACACATTCGGAAAACTGCGAATTAGAATCTGGCTGAATGAACGTCAAAATCCCTTACCTAGAAAAGTCCAAAATAGCACGGGACTTCCTCAGACCTAGTATTCAGGTCTATGTGTGAAAATTGGCTTACCTATTTAAACTTACCTCATTAATATGTATGGAGAGTTACCTATCATGTGGTTCGAGATAAGACATCAAAGACAGTCAAGAAAAATGCATTAACAAACGAGATTAAATAACATATATAAAGACAACAGTTCACGAATAAAGCGAACAAACAAACTGATTTAGAGTTTGTAGAATAATAAAAGAAACTTTACTTCAAAATATTGTAAATAATAGTTTGCTGTCAAAACGACAATTAAGGCTTTACGATTCAATTATCTAACTCAGAAATCTTGACAGCATTAAAGGGATACAAAGTGCCGAACAGTCATATACAACTACTGTTGAGATTTTATTTTTGAGTTATAGCTTCAACACCCAAGGGATAATAATCAAGTCACCCATTACCGTTGACTTTATTGAACATTTAAGTTGAGTAACATAGCAACAGTATAACAGCGACAGTTACAGTAAATTACTTGAGTAATTTAACTTTTCATGTAAATTTCACTCATTTCGTACTAACGGTTTTCCACTGTACACAAATGCTCATACCTAATAGCTCAATACTTGACTAGCTCTGTTATAATAAATATTGTGGTTAGTACGTTAATAGTAAAATAAACTATTAACCATTCATCGATAATGCTTTATGATAATTTAGAATTACGTAGTTATGAAGTCACTTTAATTTGAATAACACAACCAGTTCAACATTGTAACGGACCACTGTTCATAAGCGGCACAATTTTAACTTAAAGGTTAATGCTATACCAGTTGACATACTGTAATAAATGTTGGTTTTACTGAATCCACTGAATTTTTTCATATTCTCCAATAAAATCCGCTTAAAAATACAAGAAAAATAAATTAATAATGTTGTATATAAATTATAATTTCCAATACTACTCACCTTTCTGATCCAGTTAACGGTGAACAGTTATTCTTGGCATCGTAATTTAAAAGTGGGACTGATTTTGGAGTTGAGTGTGATTTATAATTTACAGAATAATTTTCATTTGACAAGGCCATTTTATAGGTACATGAGTTAGTAGTAGAAATACGACTCTTCCTACCAGCAGAAAGAACACAGTAGGTCAGTACTAAACAAATATCATCTGTTTTCAATTGTCTACATGATAGATCTTGTTGATTTAATGTTAAATTTGGCTCAATAGATGACCATCCATGTCCATATACAAAAAATGGATAATCATTAGTAACATTCAGTACTAGTTTTTTGTCCACCTTGAAAATTTAAGAAAAAATATTTATTGTGAAAATATTAGTGTTATAATGTACCTTCACACAATGTAAAATATTTGATTAATTTCAGTAAGAATTAATAAATAGAGTATAGTATAGATTTATAAAGAATTAATGAATGCGCACTGCTGAGGAGTCCCACAATAGAACGAAACGGCTGTCCAGTGCTTCCCGGTTTTCCATGGTGGTCTAGCTTCGATTGTCTCATGATTTCAACTATATAAGATTATTGATTTAATAATTTATTCACATGGCTCAAAATCTACTGTGGGCTTGGAAAATTCAAGTTTAACCAACTTTAAACATTTAAAGCCAAAGAAAAGAAATGTGTCTTAGAGGTATTCCTTTATTTATAATGTCCTGTTACCTAGATATTATTTTGTTAATTTTAGGGCGACAATATCAAAAATCCTAAAATATGTTGCACAAATTCATTGAACAATTTGTTATCCAATCTGTATCATAAGTATTTCTTGCATTACTAAAAAAGATATTTGATTAACTCCTCACTAGAATTCTTTGGTTTAGGTTCTGACCGTTTGAGAAAGATGTATGATTAACAGTTACGTAAATATTGTTGTCAGGAGTACACATCAGTGAAATAACATGATCATACACAGTGTATAAAAACAAAATGATGTCATTAATAATAGTTTCACTTAGTTTATTGTTGAATCAATTCATAAAAATATGGAAACCAGGATGAACTTTGTAAACTTTACGTTTAATCAGTTAGTGAATAAACTATGAATTAAAAGTACACAGTTATATATCTAGATGAATGAAATTTTTTTAAAAAGTTTGATGTATTACTTGAGTTAAATTTGGTGAAATGACAATATAATATGGTTCTCTTCATTATTTCAACCAATGGAATATAATTTAACTCAGTAACAAACTAGGGTTTTCTATAATTTCCTGTGAGTTACACTTATTGTATGAGAAATAGACGTAGTACCTTGGTATATGAACTAAAGTAAATGGAGTGTGATTTGCATTGGTAACCGAATAAACGATATTCACGTAAGTTATAAAGAATGCCGCCTATTTTATGTAAGAAAACATTAAATAGACTCTGAGGTTAAAGTAATTTCAGTCACATCAATTGAAAGTCACTCATATTATCAGTATTGTCACTATTACAACAGAACGAAACAGACTAACTTGGTGATGATGATGATGATGATGATGATGATGATGATGATGATGATGATGATGATGATGATGATGATGATGATGATGATGATGATGATGATGATGATGATGATGATGATGATGATGATGATGATGATGATGATGATGATGATGATGATGATGATGATGATGATGATGATGATGATGATGATGATGATGATGATGATGATGATGATGATGATGATGATGATGATGATGATGATGATGATGATGATGATGATGATGATGATGATGATGATGATGATGATGATGATGATGATGATGATGATGATGATGATGATGATGATGATGATGATGATGATGATGGATAAACAGCTTCATTCATCATAGCATTAAAAAACATCAGTATATGTCTTTGTAGATATTAAATGAAGGATAATAATTTTAGTTATATGATACCAAATAATTGAAAATATTATTAAAAGGCGACTGTACTGTAAAATGAGTGAAAAAGTTAACATAAAAAGTGCCAAGCAAAACTAAGACTAAACTGTTACTTATTGTATATAGCACAATGAAATCTATTTTATTATGTAATATAAATAACTAGATTATTTATCAAAATTCTATTATATTTATTTATTACTTACTAACTCTATTTCTTATAAATAATGTTAATATGCCCTTGGGGTAGAATAATGCTTGATTTCATTGAAACGTAATCTGTATACTACCCCATGGGATTTCAGTAGGATGGATTTTTCAATGGACTTGTAGAAAAGGACTATCTTTTGACGGTAAATTTTATTACGTCCACTTTATTCATTTAAACAGAACAAATATATAAGTGGAATAGTATACAACAAGATAGAGAAATGAGAACAACGGTGAGAACAGTAACATTAGCAGAAAAATGTTACAACCTTAAAAGTAATAATAATAATCAATTGACCTATGGGGCATAAGTCATCAAATAAAATAAAGAAGAAAATAATACAAACAGAAAGACCAACGCATTTCATTATATTATTTATAAATAATAATAAAATCAAGTAATTGAAAACGTTGAAGAGATTATCACTTGATAATTGATTTTAGGACATAGAATTAACTCTTAAAGACTTATTGAATCAAAGATTTAATGAGTGAAAGTATACAGTGGGTAGAAAGTTAAACTTAACTGGTACTCGTTAAGAGATTATAGGGGAAGATGATGGAAGACAATGAACACGTAAAAAAAAGTAGGACGAAAAAATAGGTTGAGTTGAAAATTTAGTTACCTATAATTGATTGAGCAAAAAAGAAATAACAACCAATATTTTGATCACTTACTTAACAATCATATAAATTACTCATTAATACATATACAGATAAATAAAAAGGTGGAAATAAGACTGTGATAAACACAAGTACCCTGTTAGAGTGTCATGTAATGTAACATGGAAAGAAATAGTACATGTATGTTATAGGCATTAGTTGAACAGAGTGAATATAGTTTCTATTTATTAGTAAACAAACATAACTGGTATATACTCTTGAGGAATTGTAATGATTGATGTTTGAAAAATTAAGTAACTGGGGCTATCTTTTGACTGTTATAAGGTACATATTTTTGCATATATCAGTATCCTTAGGATAACTATTGGAAAGTACAGTGTTTTGTATATATGTTCAGTACTATTTAAAATAACCATTCAACCTCCTTCTTACTTTGATACAGAATTAAATTCACAATTTTTTAAGAACTGTTTGAACACTAGGAAACTTAGGCTAGTGACTTCATAAATAGTTTACCAGTGAATATCTGTTCATTAAAGTCTCGAATCCAGCTTGTTCTATGTTTTATAGAGCTTTTCACAACAGAAATTATGCTATATAGTAATTTCGGGTACTTATAGATTGACTGAATATCACTGCAAGATTAAAGATCTCTCTGGTTTACAAATATGACAAAATACTTATTTAAATAAGTTTATACACTGAACATTTTAGAAATGTGGGGACGAATTAATATTTCTTGATGATGAGTTAACAGATATTGTCCAGTCTGAAAGACGGTTAGCACCACAAACTGCTTTACTCGAAACAACCATCGTAAATCAAACAAAACTAGATAGCTTTTTGTCCTTGTATGTAACTCTTTAGAAGTAGTCATTCATCTTCCCGCCAAAGTTATTACGCAGGACTGCGTAGAAAGTAAGATTCCATTCTACATTTTTGTGGTAGTTGATACTGGAAAGTAAAATTCCCAAAATAAGCGTTTTATACTACTAGAAACCATTTATTACGACTAATCACCTTAAAAAGTATAGGATTTTATAAAACCCAATAAACACATTAGATAGCTACCTGTTGATTTAAAACGAGACCCATAAAACTTGTTGAATCACATTTCTCAACTAAAGACTTGATTTTTCATATCACATTGATTGAATAGGATAAAATGTTTGTTTGAAACTGATTGACGTTAGTTTATGAAGATTATTTCTCGAATGTTTGACTATCTTTAAATAATACCTAATTTCAGAGAATTTTTCAAAGTGGTATAATTTATCACATTATTTAATGGGAATCAAAAGATTTTACACGCAGCACATCGACCAAAAATCTCTTAGAATAGTGTAAAACTTGGCCAAAGCTCATTATATAACTTTGAAAATTGCCCATCATTAGAAAATGCATTTCAGTCTAATTTATAGGAAGCGACATTCAAATATTCGCCAGTTGAGCAAATATCTACATATCTGTAACTCTAAATACCTAAAAATTGATTAGCGTTTTCTAACGACACTACTTACTAAATTCCAATCAAAGTAAAAAATATTGATAACAAACTCACAAACATCTAAATACAAAAGATAAATTGATTAACTTAAAAACTTTTCAAATGTTTCACTAATCCTATCACATTTTCAAAGTATAGTAAGATGTTAGCCACATTTATACAAATTCGTTTCTTATTTCTATTTATACATTTATTAAAAAATTTATTTCACACTAATTTAAAATGGTAAATTCCTATCCACGAAGTACCAAACTGAGTTGAACGGCCGTTTCGTCCTAGTATAGGACGATACAGATGTTCAGTACTTACAGCTTTTCAATAGTGGTCTAGTTCAGATCAACTTTTGAATTCAACCGTTAAAATACTGACTATTACTTATATTTATATATAGTCTCACAGTGGGAAAACGTTTTGAGATTATTATTTATCAACCATATTACTAAAGTAACTGAACTATCATTAATTATCATCCCTTGAATTAATAGAAATTTTGTTAAAATAAAAGCCTTATGTATATTTAACATGAAAATAGAACATCTACACTGAAAATGAGAACCAACAAAAAAAATTTACATTATTTTTCCATTGTTCATTAATTTAATTTTAAATTAATTTTCTATTATTTTCAAAGGGTGAAAAACAAAAAAAAAATTAAATGTACAATTTATAGAATATTTAGATATTTGAATGAATAACAGAATGATGTTACATAATCAATGAATAAAACCATAATTCTAAAAAAAACAGTCAACTTGAAAATATTGTATTCATTATTATAGATTATTTGTTTCAATATTACTTTCTTTTTTTTCTTTTTAATACATGGATAAACTATTAAAATAAAGAAAAGGATTTTTGAAATGAGAGAGAGGGGGGAGGAAAGAAAGTGAAATAACAGAGCACTAAGTTACACAAAGACAAATAGAATAAAATTGTTCATTTGTTATTTATAAATCTCCTTTATTTTTTTCACTTAGTATTGTTTGTTTGAATCTTCCTATTGATGTTTAGGTATGCAACTGGTCAGTCTCTTATTTTCATATGTGCATACTTTGCGTATTGCCTCGATATTGCTTGTTTATGTTTACTTTTTTTTACTTTTTCTAACCAAAATATTCACAATCTATTTTAATATTCGAATATTTAAACACCCCCTTTAATAAACATTCACAATAATTATAATTTTGTTAATTCATTAGTTCATTTTCATTTATTTATTTGTTTTGAATGAGCTCAATGATTATTCTGTTTATTTTTAAGATTTCACTAACAAGTGAAATATCATAATGTAAGTTAACTGTGAATGGAGTGAAAATTATTCATAGGATAATATAGAGATAAAACTAAAGAAACTTATGAAAACAAACTAATAACTATGAGTTCAGTATTATTATTATAAAGAAGGAGAGCAAATGTATGTTGATAAATCCTGTATTCAATTAAGTTTCTACTGAATTAGTATAATATGAAATGATGAGAAAGCATATGATTTTGTAGCTTTTAAACAAATATTCTGGACGTAATAAAGAATCATAAAACTAAATAGAATTCCTTGTAAGCACAGATGGATAGTGGCTAGCAGTGAAATCCAGGACGCGCGTTTCGTCCCATTTGAGACTTGTCAGCTGGATGTACTTGCAGCTCAGAGTTCATGTTCACCCTGTGACTCGAACCCAGTACCTTTCGCTTCAAATGCCATTGCCTTGTCCACTCAGCTACAGAGTGCTGATAGCCACTTGTAGGTACATCCAACCAACGAGTCCCAAATAGGACGAAACGCGCGTCCTGGATTCCACTGCTAGCTACTATCCATCTTTGTTTACAAAGTTTGTGAATTAAGGCTTTATCGAGGCAATATGCACAGTATGTACATATGCCAATTAGAAACTGACCAGTTGCAGTTCTAAACATCAATGGAAAGATTCAAACAAACAATAATAATTGAATTTAAATAGAATTCCTATTTGAACTTACTAATAGGATGATTGGGTAAGACTGTTATTGAGGTGTATAACTCATTTTTATGTAAAGTATGTCAAATTTTAAATGACTGAAAGGAAATAAGAAGAGTACAGATAAAATGAATTTCTGTGTCTAATCACTGTGTCTAACGAAATGCATTACAGTTTGATCAATAAAATCAAATCAAACTAGACTTGGTACTGGTTACTACTCAATGACAATGTAAGGATATGTTTTATTTGAACCATTAGAACGTTTACTAGTACACTGCTAATTATTAATGGAACATGGAGACAATGGGAACGTTTAACTGATGAAATGGAATCCAAAAGTCTTTCAAGGTGATTGGTGCAGTGCATTATATATATATATATATATATATATATATATATATATATTACAGGCTATTAATTTTGTATACTTTCATAAGTGAAGCATAATCAAGACTAGATCTAGAAGTTGACTCGATGTTTTAGGTGAAAATAAAAATCTATATAAAATGTTAGTTTTTCCGCAAATTCTAAAGAATATTAGTTTCCATAAGGTTAAGATAGGTTTGCTTTTGTAGTTGAATCAATTTCAGAAAATTCTAATAGTGAAATTCATTCTTTTTCAGTAATATCTGTTCTTTGATAGAGTACCAAATTAACTTAGCACTGTATTAAAACAAGAGGTTAACGGAAATTGTTCAGTTTTAAGACAGTTTACTTCATAAACCAAATTTTGATGATGTTGATTCCAGTATTGGCACAAACCATCCAACCTTCTGTGGTTTTTATTGTTTCTTCACTTGATGTCTATTCGTGATGTAAATTTTTTAAAAATGATATATCATGTAAAACCATCTCTTGTTCCTTTATATTTTGAAGATGAAAGACAATTATCAAAATTGTAGAATTACAAAAGATCCGAACCTGGATTTACAAGAAACTTGGTTGATGAACTCGCTCTCTTCACTTTCAACATAGAACATTTGGGATTGAATTTACTATAAGGTCTTATTTCTTGACTGAACGACTGTGTTTCTACTCCAAAGGTCAAGATTGATCAATTAATCAGAAGCTTAAATTTCAAGGATTTCAGCAGCATTGAGTATTTAAATGTATTAAGGTCATACAGTATAACTGTGAGTGAAGTATGAGAATCATTACCATGTGAATGGTTCTAGGATAACACGAAAAGTAATGTAAATATTTTCTTACAAGTGACAGGCATTATTATCTTTATGAATGGGTTTAATTTGATATATTTCAGTAGACATAATTCCCATTCATAAACCATTTGTATAAATATTGCTCACTATATAAACCATTTCATCGGACGGGAATTTTTAAAGTAATAACCTGGACAGCTTCATGTTGGTGGCTCAGATTTTTCAAGCTGAATTCTATATTTCCAGATTATTTGAAAGTGTTGTACGTTTGTGAATACATGGTTTCGTCTATCAATAACGCTTATCCATTTCATAGAGGCTTCAACAATTATGAAACTATATCTTCTTAGTCGACAGAAATATAATAATAAATCCAGTTATTTTGATTATTACCTTCACTCGGATGTATGCAGAGATTAAAAGTGAACCTTTAAACAACTCGATAATTAAGTTAGCAGTAATACAACCCACTAGTGCTGGTAATGGTGGCATTTGGCGAAAGACGCTGTTTCAGATGGTCATCTTCAGTTAAACGTTGTTTGAATAAGACAGTGACAGTACCGTGTAAACACATTCAAAGTCATTGGTACCACTAACCGATCTAAGTTAGATATTTATTGACAACCATGCATTAATTGACAGCTATTTTATTTTAGTGTTGGACTCCTCAAACGAATATACCCACGACTCTACAGTCGGCAATCGACACCAGAATTTTCGGTCTCGGACTCAAACCCCTAATCTTCAAACTACTGACTAGGAATCCAGTGGCACATATGTCTATTTTCGATTATTTAGCTTCACTTGAAGGAATGACACTTGAGAATAGATATCACTTGAATGATGTAAACGTTATTTACATTTCATTTACTGATGCTGTAAATCGAAAGTTGAAAATCTACTTTAACATCTAATTTATTTTCATACCAATAGATTCTTTCAATGATAAGGTTATTTGATATTCTATTTTGATTTACAACTTCTTGATCATATGGATATCGAATTATTTGATTTTAGATTTTTATAGAGTTGAGATCACGAGTCAATTGAAGCTAGACCACAATCGAAAACCTGGAAGCACTGGATGGCCGTTTCGTCCCATCGTGGGACTCCTCAGCAGTGCACATCCACGATCCCCCCTCGCGAGATTCGAACCAAGGTCCTACGACTCTCGCGCCAGAGCACTTAACCGACACACCACTGAGCCGGCATCCAACGGTGTTAATGTCTAACATCAACCAATCCACGATTTTGAGCGACCGTTCACCAATGTCATCAGTGAGTTAATATCTACCAACAGACCCGGTTGAACTTCACTGGTTACTGCTTCTAGATTATTTAACTTTCGAGTCAATATTCACAATGAAATAGAATACGTCACCAAGCATAATAGTTAAAAGTACAAGTTGATAGTGGGAAGACAGGTGTACTGATAGTAGTAAGAATACTAAATTACGATAACAAAAGTCTTATCAATAGTTAAACATTGAAAATAGGAGGTCAAACGTGGATAAATATACTAGAATAGTAATCACAAAACATATATATATATATATATATATATATTAGAGTAAAGCGTGATGACGATCTAATTGAAAACAATTGTTCGCTTACAAGTGTTGTTCCAATTTTCACAATGGGAATCTTTAATATTTAACTTTCTACACATACTTTAAATGTCTACTGACTGTATAATTTCTTCTTTAACTGATCAACAACTTACTTTCCTGTTGGTCAGTTGTATAAATTCATGATTATGAAATCGTTACTGACTATGAGACATAAATTTTGTACTTGCCTCATTAACTAACTTGGATGTATTAATGATCTGAATATTAAGTTAAAAAAAGAAAACAGGTTAAATATCAAACTGTGAACGTTCATGTTACTCACATTAAAACTTTTAGCATTGAAATGAGGCCATAACATACGTGAGGCTTGTTTACTACAATTTTTTTCGTTTTTACCAACTAATAAATGATGACGCTTTGAAGATTGGATAAATGTTAATTCACTTGATAAATTAACAGTGTTATTATTTGAATCGTTTTTAATTTGAATTAATTTTACCCAACACATTTCTAAATTATTTGTACTTGCTAAAGCTTCAATTAATGAACCATTATCATATGTAGATTTGTTAAAATTATCATATTTTATGGCGCTAGATATAAAGTCAGAAACTGACAAATCTTCTCTCACTTTAATCTCTCCATTAATAAGACGCACACATTTGTTTAAATGGCATTCATTATTTAGTTTCCATTGGTCAGTATTTCCTGAGTTGATAAGATTTATCGGTTTATCTGCATTGAATGGTATTGGTGAATCAGATAAATGTGTAATACTTTTGTTATTCAATAAGTTATCCCACTTACTGGCTGCATTATGCAGTATACGATCAACTGTACACATTTTGTCAAGTTGAACTGAGAATTTTTTATCAGGGTTACAATTTAATTCCTTGGAATTTTCTCTCATCATTCTACTATCCATTAAAAAATTGAAATAAGGAAAAACAGTTGAAGGTATTAATGACGACGGTAGATAATTCAATTCCCCTTGATGCCTGTCTCTATTTGTCTTACAATTTTTACTGTATACATCATTCACCTGAATATCACAACTTGAAGACTTATTATCATCCCATAATTTAGAAAATGTTACATTTGGAGGACCATGAATTTTACTTTGGTTTGTAAGTGTTATTCCTGGAATCAGTGAACCATTTCTAGTTTGATCTTGATCACTGTATATCTTATTGTATAAATATGAAACACGCTTTGTCTGATTTTGAATGTTTGCCGAATCAAGATAGTTGTTTAAGTTATTTGTGACAGCTTTGTGACTATCATTACTGAATTGTGATGTTGATGTTTCAGATAACAAATTTGTCAATGTTTTATAAATGCAATTAGTCTCTGTCACCTCCTGTGAATTTTCATAAATTAATTCATTTAGACGGCTCAGCCATAACAGTAATAATGATGATGATGTTATTGGTGGTTGTGTTGTTGTGACAGATGTCGAAGATGATGATAATGGTGATGAAAATGATCTTAATATGTCAAAATGATTTGGTTGTACATTATTATTCTTCAAGTGATAATATAACGCGTGATCATATTGATTTAAGAAATAACTAAATTTTGCATCATCTCTTGTGTAATTATTTGAGTTTGGTACCGAATTTGTCAAGGATCTCTCAGTGATTTGAGGTTTTTGTCTTACTGTCACGTCAACTGAATTATCCATAGAAGTAGTGTCGTTTTCGATGGTGTACGGAAATAACTCTTTATAATTTGGCATGAGTTTATTTCGACAAGAAGAGGAATGCATATTTGTTGATGAAAAATAATCCAATTTTTGGTTGTTCTGTAAAAATGTTAAAAAATTTGTAAAGTCATAATCAAACTGAAACTGTGAATTAGGATTTGAAATGTTGAAAACTGGTTCAATTGGATTGTATAGTGTATGTTGATTCATTGCCTTCCCAGGGAAAAAATGATAGCAATAAACTGCTATCAGTATTTATTACGAATTTGTTTTAAGAAATTAACTCCTACTTGTAACCATGTACATTTATCTACTGTTATGGAAATAAAATAAATTAGAAATTAATTTCTAATTAATCATATGACTCAAAAATGTATTTAATCTACAACAAATACTTAAACGAAAAATAAACAAACTAATTTTGAGAACCCCGTGTCATTCAAAAATTTCCCCCAAATTATTTATAGTTAATAACCATTTTGACTGCCAACCTTTTTTACAATTGATTGATCACTGGGTGGTGACCAATGTCATGTGTGTCAAGTCCTTCTTAGTGCTGATCGAATGCTATCGATCACGTTGCAATGTGGCCACCAGTCTAGGTGACTCGACACTGCGTGCACCATGTTGAAATAAGATGGTGGTTGGAGGTGGCCAACAGGAAACCCAGGATCCAGGTTTCGTGCTACTTGGCACTCGTCAGCATTCGATCAGCACTAAGAAGGACTTGACACGCATCACATTGATCACCACCCAGTGATCAATCAATTGTGATTACATCTCAGTCCTACAGGAGGTCAGTCGCGGCCCGAATAGCTCAGTGGTAACGTCTCTGACTGTGAAGCTGGGTGAACCGTGATCGAATCCGTCAGGGAGCACCAGTTCCCTCAAGATTACAGATACACCTTGCTTACGAGTGCCAAGTAGCACGAAACCCGAGGTCCAGAGTTTCCTGTTGACCACCTCCAACCACCATCTTATCTCAGCTATTTTTAATTATTCAAATCTAAGCGTCTAATTTGAATAATTCCAGTTTAAGTAATTTCATTTTATATGCTACATAAAAATCATTAAAAGAGGCATTAAAGTACTTTTAAATAATATTATGATTATTTACCAATAGTGTTTAATTACTCCTCGATTGATTGGAAATATCTACATAGTTTATCATTTTAAATTCAATTTCGAGATATGCAGATGATTTAATTCACACTAATTCAATAGATTTAGAATAAGAAGAAATGCATACAATTATCAATGTGTAGTTTGTTTTTATCAAATATTATAGTTACAATTTTCTCAAGTTTACGAAGATACTGTCTATTTTATTTATTTGAACGCACAAATACTGGTACAAAGCGATGCCGAATGCATATGCTCCACACAAGTCACTTGATTTGTGTGTGGGCTGTGATACTTCCCGGGTGCTCAAACTGAAGCGGATGGTTTCCTTAGGAGGCCACACCCGTGGCCTTTGATCTAAAGGTCCGATCTACCAGGCAGTCGAGCAACGTAGGGAGATGCAGTCCCATGGTAGCCAGTGACCAACAATAGGTTTATATGCCATTTGTTTCCTCAGGATCCTGGAGCCCATGTACACCACTGTTTTGAAATCAGGATTTTTCAAATACCCTAGGTGGGCCATACTTGTCCGATAACCCGGTTAGAGCACCGAACATTCGCTTTCCGTCCTCTCAATTTCACAAACAACACCCTTGCTATGAGAAGGCAGTGTGTAGGACTTCCCTGTTAGTAGCTATATACGCGTGGCTATGTGAGAGCATTTTGAGTAAGCGAACTGACTCTCTCCACCCTCGGCCATTCCAGGGCATTCGGGGGCACGAAGATACTGAGGTTTAAAAGTGTATATTGCCTTGAATATAACAAAAATGTTTCGATTAGAGTTCATATCATTCGAAAAATCAACTAATTCGCACAAATATTCACATATTTGTCCTTGCCAAACTGTCAGTCTGATTGAAAAACTCAACCTTACTTGTATAATTGGACAAATGACGGAAACGCAAAAATGAAAAAGTATCAGACAATGGATTTATTCTTGTCTGCGTAAGACAAATAAACAGAATCATTCGTAAACAACACAAATTATAATTACTTTCTTAAATACAAGATGAATATCAAATTTGCTTAGACAAACATATTTAACGGTAGGTAATGCAAGAAAAAAATCTCTCATCGTTCTGTTGATTGCAGTACACAAGTTTGTCTTATTTATACACTTTAATACACCAATATCATCTTACAATTTCTATAGATGCTTTTGTTAATTGGACTAATATTTAACCAACCACACAATTTTGTAAATAAAATTCCTATCGTCCAAGTAAATAGTGAATCAAAAGTTATTCATTCTAAACAGACATATAATAACAATTCCTATTTGTGTTTATTTTTTAGCTCACTATTTAAATGGTGTATACTCGTTTTTACTTAGTTTCACTCTACACATAGAAGTAAATGTATATATAAGGAAGACGAAGGGATACATTTCTGCCCAATTGTAATAACACGACATGCTGCAACCGTAGCCAGAACAGATAGTGCTATATTTAGTTTTGCACTCAAATATGGATAAGAAGCAGGTGAATATAACTTTCTTCTAGATGAATTGTTACATAAACAAAACTTATATAAATAGTTCACTGCTATTTACTGCTTATAAAGTTATAATCATAATCTTCTACATTTCCTAAATGTAGGACAAAACAACCTGTGAATAATTACTATAATAGTATGCAATCATCTTAAGCACTATGACGCACTATCTAGTTGTCATATAACATTTGAAAGTAATTTTACCAATAATACATCGATGACATTTACGCTTTTGTAAAACTATTACATCTTCAGAGAGTAAGTCCTTGTTAAAGATAATGAGGATATCACTATGGGGATAACCAATTAACTAGTAAAAGTTGTGTTAGTAAGCCATGATTGCCATGATAAATTTAATCATTTTGATTTAGTAAGTATTGCTCACAAACTCTACTTAGTTTACTTAGCTCAAACACATTTGCTGGCATTGATGTTTGGAGTTTATAACATTCACCAGCGGTTATGGTCAACCAGATTTAATTGATATGGGCTCCAAACTATTCTTTTAGTATGCCTATGGTGACTAATTCAACAAACAGAACATTCTAGACTGAAGCATGGGATACTTATTCATTCGCTTAATGTAACAGTATACATTTATTTCTATTTTCCAAAACAATCCATTGTATTTAAAAAGCTAACTAACAGAATTAGATACCTACATAGTTAAGTTATCGTTTACTGCTCAAACCATCTTATTTCTCAGGAATATACTTTGAGGACAAATTACAATATCTTAGTTCAGTTCTTAATAAATCAGAACACTCGAAAAATCTATAGAAAGCCACATCACAACTTCAACAAGTTAGAATTTTCTCTTTGTAAAGCAAAATTCAGACTTCTGAGTTTTTTGTAAAACATCTTCAACAGTCAGAACAACATAACTATTTAGTTTAGAACTTCATGAACTATAATGACTGGTCACCTACCACAAGATTTGAATCACATTTATCATACTTGTATGAATAATGTATACAGTAGTAGTAATCGGAAATTTCATATTACAAGTTTAGTGTTAGAGCATAAACTAAGGGAATTTAGAAATCTAACACAATGCTTAAAGTCTAGTTATTTCGCTAGTAGCTTATACCATGTTCAATATAATGTACTGTTTATAAGTAAAAATTACTCTCAGGTCATTCACATCTTTACCATTAAACAACTCACTGAGATGAAAAAATACATTTTTTTCCAAAATCAGATGACTACTAATCTAAAATCCAATAATACGAGCTACCTATTTTCTGGTATATCTCCAAGCCGTAAAATATTCACTTTAGATCGAATGGAACAAAAATCGTAACTAATCTATTTTATGTCTTTAAGTATTTTTATCGTGGATTGATCTAAATCGATGTAACATTGATAAGTAGGAAGCACTGGACAGGTGTTTCGTCTTAGAATGAGATTCTCTCGCAGTGAAAGCACGCCATCCCATTAGAGAACGAACACAGGATCTTAAATTATTGCAGCTGACTTTGAGTGGTATTCAAACTAATATCTGCTCCTGACAAAGACTTCTGAAAATTAAAATAATCTCCACAACACACTTTCACCTAAAAATATCCCTTAAGAACTTAATTTAACGGAAAAAGTATTTCTATAGAACGGTCACATAGTACAACTGATAACGATCTTTTCCTAGAAATAACTCTAACTTATAAACTATTGATAACTGGTTTAAAATGCTTACTCACATCAAACAGACATAAATATCTGTGAAAATTCCTGTAATGAAAGTCCACGATTAACTAGAAAATATAATTATCAAATGTGTAATGAAATCAGGATTTCATACATAAATGGTGAATATCACATAACTGTTATGTGTCGACTCAATACTCTATCACATTATTCAGTGACTTAACTGAAATAATCGTTTGACTAACTCTCTAGTTTGGTGGTCATCTGATATTAATTAAAAGTTCCTGAGAAATGTATTTTAATGTTATATGTCACTCGGATTTCCTTAATGATGACTTAAGTTTGATTGAAAACAACATCACTTGAATAGAGGTTTCATCTATAAGTGTTTCATCGTCACCACACTTCATTGGATTGGTTATTTCTTATTTTAAGTTGCTTTTTTGACCAGAACAAAAACAAAATCAAATAGTGAAGGATATTACCAAATGGATAAATTTTACACTGATCAATCGTCTGGTAGTTTCATGTCCTCCAGTAACAAGTGTTTATTGGATTTGTAGGGTCACGCGGCTGACTGGTAGTTAGTCTAAGCGACTCCATAGATGGTAAGATGCAACCTCAGTAACTCAATGTTAATATCTCTGTCTGCGTTGTTGATCAATACTAATTCGAAACCGATTGGACCTCAGATACTCTTTGTCATAAACGACAAACTATTGGCATATATTTTAAAATGAAAATTTCTAGCTATCTGAGACCATTTTTGAGGAGAAAATTTGTTCACGGCTATCAGTGAAACATAAAACCATAGTTTGTATCACTGTCTCAATATACTAATTCTTTCACGATTTATTTGACGGAAGGTCTTTCTGAATTTCATGCAACCGCCCTTTTAGACATTCGATTCTTTAGTGTCACCAAAAGCCTTTAAAATAGGCTAGATTATTTCATCAAAAAACGATACTTATAAGTAGTTTATAAGCAGTTTTAAATGTGGACTCAATTGATAACAGTTGCTTTTTGTTATCTCTAATCTAGTAGTAATCGTTGCTGATTTATATTTGTTCTATATACATCCATCAATCCAATCTCCGAAAACTACAATAATTAAAACACTGAGTTACTGTTCAGAGTTACTTGTATTTGTCAGGGGATAATTTTCGGCATAGGGTGGTAATACAGTTTTTCCATAATTTATTTAAGTAGTATGCACCGTTTTTATCCAATCATAATAACATTCATAAGTTGGAAACAAATGGACTGGCAGTCTTACTGTATATTTTGAACAAGAAAAATTGACTAGAGTTTAAGATCGATGAATTCTAATAATTATAATTCAGTCAGTAAACGTACTTTGCTTTAACCTTTTAAGCTTCCTTAGTGGGCAAATCATTCAGAATCTAACATTGTGAATCACAGTATAGAAATTCACAGATACGTAACTAAAGACAAGTACTATTTTTTTTCAGATACAGCAAAATATATGCATTGAAGTCCACGATCCTCATGAAATTGTAGGTACAAGTGACGAACTGAACAGCTATCTATTTCAATGATATGTTCAGAGAAAAATAATGTCAAGCATTTGGATTTCCAGTATTAAATTTCGAAAGCCTGAAAAGGCCTAGAAATTTAAGTTCAGGAGTTCAGCTAATTATATTCTGTTTATTAACCAAGTAACTTGAATAAATATTCCGTTATCACAACTGGATACTTCAGGACTATGACTTTCAAGTATACCCCCATTAAAAATGTGACTTGATTATCTTAATATTTAAAAAAACGACAGTTAACTTAGAGCCCTAGATAAGCATACAATAATTATTATATCATCAATCTGACTTATTCATTAGCAAAAATAAAATTTAATTGGTAAATTTTCACCAAAACTTCATACTACGTGAACCAATATTTTCTTTAATACATTGTATATGTCATTAAATCTAGAGTTGCAACTCAATTCAATGACTTGTTAATGCCTTATCATATTGTTTATCTAACTTTCAACAGTGCAGTTTTCATAACGAGATTAAACATTTATTTGTCAACAGAACAGATATATTTTAAGTTTTCTATCACATCCAACAGTCGGATAAATTCACATGATATGAACTTATGTAGAGTTTGCCTATGAACAAACCTGGATTCATTTGATGTACAATAATTGAAAGTTAAATCAGAAGTGACAAAATGGAGTCTCTTACTTTACGGATCAAGTGACATATGAAATACACTTGATGATAATTTTATTATAGTTGAATTGATGAGTCAATCTAAGCTAGACCACCATTGAAAACCTAGAAGTACCGAACGGCTGTTTCGTCCTAATAAATAACTCCTCGAGCCCAGGACCATACTGGGACGAAACGGCCGTACAGTGTTTCCAGGATTTCAATGGTGGTCTAGTTTAGATCGACTCATGAATTCAACTATTTAAGTCCCTACAACCTCCACAAATCAACATTCTATTGATAATTCTATCCCTTTACATTGAAATCTCAAATTTCTGTTTAAAACATAAATAACAACCAAGATATTAAAGTATCGAACCTTCCATGTATTAAATGACTACTAAAGTTAACAAGATCTGATCATCAGATAATTTAAAACAACAACTTCGTAGATTGACACTAATAATAATAGTTATTCCTAACATAATGATATAATCTATCAAAGAATATACTCACACAATCTTCGGAAGTATTATAACCATCAATGAAAAGTTTTGAGAATTGTATGAAATGGTTCAATTTTCTTGACTTCTCTTTCACGATACACTTGGTATGCCAACACACCATCACAAATAATCTAGTATTCTGTAGGACATATGAAAGGGGTCTGAAGGAATTGATAGTTGTGATTACATTTATTTTTCTACACTTTGAATTTTCCTCAAAAAAATCATTTACTTTGTTCCCTATACTTTTCATTATTCTAGTTTACTATTCTATCAAGAATATTTTTTTATACGTATACAAATATTTCTATCCACCTATTAAACACAATTGTTACGTTTAACTTCCCCTCGTTTTTCTTATCTTCTCATATATTTTTTTTTCCTCTGTCATTCATTTCTGTGTGTGTACATACGTATTTTTATCTTGGGAAACCAATCCTGTTACAAACAGATTATCATATACACTTGTCATTGCTTCTGCCACACAAGATTACTACTATATTCTAGTGGAGTGGAAACTAATAAATATGAATGAAAATTCCAAAGATCACTGAGACACACATCTGTAGGAAAAAAAGTTTTACCCACATATAAATACATAGTTATAAAGACATAATAATATTACAGATAGACGTAAACACACATCTAACATGTGGTGTATACTGCGTATCTAAGCCGGTGGTTTGACAATATAAGAAATGGTCAGGTCTTAGAATTTGTCATCAAAAATAGAAATATAAACACAAGTATACTAGGAAGAAAGAAAATTGAACGCTATTAAAAATACCTGATGAATTTTTTGGCATATACTATTGCATATACATTTGATATGGATGTAGATAAAGCAACTAAGAATTGAATACTAAAATCGTGTCGTTCAGATTGGAATTAACAAAGTAATTTTCAAAAGCATCGGGAAAACAAGTTTTCATTTCAGGTTTTGAAAGATCATTTTTTAGCTGAATGCGTAAAATAATTCTTAGTAATTCATAGAAAGCTGTTCTAAATTATTATATTACTAAACATTTCGAATTTCAATAAATTCATCTTTGTAAGGAAATAATATTGAGGTTTAATTGAAACCATGAACCGATTAATGTCATATCACCATTGAAAAGCTAAAAGTATTGGACAGTGTTTGCGAGAGGTCGAATGTCCTGAGCTCGAACTCCGTGAATGGGATCGTAGATACGCACTGCTGAGGAGTCCCCTACTGGGACGAAACGGCAGTCCACTGCTTCTAGGATTTCAATGGTTGTCTAACACTGATCGGTTCATGATCTCAATTAAAATTTAACAATCTCCACAATTTTATATTGAAAAAAATATTGACATTTACTGAAAAATGATTATACTAAATAGAGTCATAAATTCTGTCAGCATCTACAGAGTGAGTCTTATCTAATTAACTTTGAGTTAAGTGAGTAAACTGACCATTCGTGATCGAAGCAACACTGGTACGATAATTAAGACCATATATCTAACATTTGTAGGATTCATTCACTTATTTCGTTCTACAGCATTTCTTGTCAGCTAAATTTATAAATGATTCTGGTAGGTATTACATTGTAAAGTTTTTGATGAGTGAGCTCCTACGGTCGATCAATAATCAACGTTATCTATTTTCGAGATACTTCAATACAAAATCCGCATCCTGCAAACACTTTTCAAGCTATTCATTGTGTGCAAAAGTAAGACAGTAAAGGATATACCCCCCTACTCAGTGACATATTTTTAATTATGACCGTCAACCAGCAGATCTTTCCCGAGGTATTTGCTAGCTGAACTAAGCCAGGATCTTCAGCACTTATGACGGACTGGAAATTTAGGTCAGTAGGTTGCAATTAAACAGTTTCTTTTTCACCGCTTACTCACCTGTTGATAAAGTGATATCCTGTTGTAAACATTTTATTCCTGACCTAATAATAATAAATTAATAAAAGAAAAATCGCAACAAACAAAAAATTAAAAGAGGAAGGATAGATTTGAAAGTAAAGAGAAAAAATTACCAAAAGAATAATCCCAATTCTATTCAATCAATAGCATTTTTCATTTAGACGAAAGTTGTTCCATACTGAAAACGCACTGATTTAGATGTAAACGATTGAATTGCAACTAACCAGCCTAAGTGTATCGTGTTTTTCACAAGATCTGATCCTATGAAGAGTTGTGGATGAACTTGATTGGAAAGTTTTCTACTTGGACAGATTCTCTTGATTTCCGATAAAAATGCAGTTAATGTCGTTTGTTAACAAAAGGAGCACAATGTACAAAATCGACAGATAACACTAATAGTAATTAATCGTTCTACCTATGAAACTGCATATAAAATTTTTATGTGCTAGCTTACATTCGGAAATGTTATGAATAATACTTTAATTCAACTAAACCAATCACAACGTTTGAATGTGAGAATAATCAGGTTTCTAAAGGCATCTATTAACTGAGGTAATCAGATAGCATTAGTGTTGTCATCTGAATAAAACAAAGATTTCAAAAAATAAATGATATCTGTTTCCAGAGTCGCAAATAACTTATTATCACTTTTTCATTGACTTGAATAAAGTTTCAGTCATTTGATGATAATGTTTCTAATAAATCATATTCTTCTTTAAATCCTTCTGACTATCGAAAATTCAACGTATCTGATGTCTTGAAAGGACTACTGATAAATCGATTATGTCACAGAAAACTCATCACCACTGGAAATTATATTCATTGATGATTAATCTACAATCAGATTACAACTATGTTCATCCAATAGATTCATTTTTTCATCTATAGTGTAATCAGTAATTAGTAATGTGACTTTCTACTTAATCGATCTATCTACAAAACAAAAGATATTTATAATTTAGTAATGAGATCTGACAGATTCTCCGTGAATCGTCATTGTCTCTATTAATAGTTATACAATTTATTCATTATTATTTCAGGGCATTTCCCAAGCACAGGTATTGAACAGTATAGTATAATTCAGAATTTTTATCAGATCGGATCGTGGGTGCGCACTGCTGAGGAGCCCATATTGGGGCGAGACGGCCATTCAATGCCTCCAGGTTTTCAATGGTTGTCTAACACTGATCGTTTCATAGTTTCAGTAAATTCATACAATCTGCTTCCCTCACAGATTTTGTAGTGAACGAGAACATGAGTGGGGACAACCGAATGCATGAGGGCACAAATTACAGAATATCTTAGTAAAATATGAGAACCATATAGTATATAGTTAATTTACAAACTACCAATCAATTGGTAAGCAAAGATGGGTAGTGGCTAACAGTAGAATCCAGGACGCGCGTTTCATCCTATTTGGGACTCATCAGCTGGATGTACCTGCATCCCAGAGTTGATGTTCACTCTGGGACTCGAACCCGGAACTCAGTGGCCGATTGGATTGCGCGATGGCATTTGAAGCGAAAGGTACTGGGTTCGAGTCTCAAAGTGATCATCAACTCCGAGATGCAAGTACAACCAACTGACGAGTCCCGAATAGAACGAAACGTGCGTCAAACTGGATTCCACTGCTAGCCACTATCCATCTTTGCTTACCATGCTTGTGAATTAAGGCTACATCGAGGCAATGCGCACAGTATGCACATATGCCAATTAGAGACTGACCATTTGCGGTCCTAACACATCAATGGGAAGATTCAAACAAACAATACTAAATGAATTTACCAATCAATTGTCTCAACCTTGATCGTTCCTTCTGCAAATATCAGTCCATCGTCTCCGATTATTATTGTCCATGCAGTTTCATACCAATCGCGTTTCGTTTCCGTCCTTTCGTTATCGAACTTCTACTGAAATACATTCAATACCCAACCATCATTGCTCACTAATTGTGTGGATATAAGTAACCCACACCACAATTTGTTCAACTGATTAACGGATAAATCTTCGTATCAGTGATAAGAATTACAACATCATACTTTGACTTCCCAGTATTGAATATCTTTTTATTCAATTCCTTTTTTATAGGCAACCAGTTATTTGTTCTCTGAAGAAGTGACTTCCGTGAATTAACGAAATGCTGTAAAATCATTTCATTACTCACTCATTTATTACAAATTTCATTACGAACAAGCAAACCAATTATCAATTAATTTAAAATTATCAAATGAAATATCTCCAGTAATAATCAACATATTACTTATTTTAATATCCAAATTCTTAGTCAGTAATTAAAGTTTATTGGCTTTAAAATATACTAAAGTACAGTCATCTATTACTATTATTTATAATTACTGTTCATTATTAATTGATATTTCAACTTTTGAAAATTAAGTACTTCTTATTACCTCTTAATTAGCTAATCATTATAACGTTCTCTAACAGGCTGAATTCCTTGAATATTCCAAATGTAATGGTAGTTGAAGAATATTCGATGAAATAAGAATTAATTAATTCAGATTTTTTAACCAATCAAAAAATATCCCCCCAAAAAAATATTTTCAACCTATTCATCTGTTTATATGTATGTTAATCTATGTAAGCTTCTCCCTCTCTACGTTGTTGATTCCTTTTTCATGAGCTTTAATTTTTCAAAAAATGTCATCCGTAACTTCGTATTATTGCTATGTTAATCGTTATTCCAATTTTCTTCTTCTAATTGACTTTTTTCGTCATTCAGAAATGAAAACTCTATTAATTAAAATGATGTATATTTATTTATATATAATTTTTAAATGATTTACAAATTAAAGTAGTAATGATTAAGATATAATAGGGAAATCCTATGTACATACGTTCATTCATCAAGTTACTCAATATATATATATATATATATATATATATATATATATATACGAATTAACAAATACTCATCTATACATATATACGTTTTATAGAGATAGAGAATTAAAGTAAACCTCTTACTCTAGAGATGAGAATCCCAAATGAATAATATCAAGTATTCATTTTCTAATTTGTTTCTTATTTTCTATTACACATATACACATAAATATATAAACTAACTTTTATATATATCTACATATACATACTCTTGTTCATTATTTAATCTCCCTTTCTTTAAAATTAATTCATTTTAGGAATCTGATTCTTTTTTCTTTTTCTTTTCTTTACACTGTGAAAAGTTTATGGTAGAAACATTCTAAATCTTAAAAAAAAAACCCAAAAAAATGATTATACAAATTTATTGAATTAGAATGAAAAAGTTAAGAAATAATAATGAATTTAATATAAAGATTATCAGATGTAAAAAAAATAAATAAATTTGTTTAAATTATATTAAAGATGGTAACAACTAAAAAAAGGGAAACAAAATTCAAGTATAGAAAAAAAAATAAAAT